CTGACATCTGAAATAAAAATAATGAGCTGTTCTCTCCCAGCAGTGAGCTGCCCTCGGGAGTTCATTAGGACACTAGCTTGGTGAGGGTCCCTGAGGAGTGACACTTCTTGTCCTTTGCTTTATGCTTCCCAATGCTCATGCTCCAGGAGAATCTGAAGTCCTTTAGCCTCCTAATGCACATGCTGTTTTGCTTATTCTTTTACTAATATTGTGCTGGGAATGAAGAAAAGATGTTGCCCAAAAATGGCAGCAGTGTGAGGGGGAAGGAGAAGAAAGACAAGTGTGTTGATTTATTGCCTTTGTGACATTTATCAAGTAGAAAACATGGCTGGAAACACTGAAGGAAAAGCAGAGCCATCAACTCATACCACTCTTCAGCTGAGTTTTTTTTTTCTCTTTGTGGCCTGAAATAGACTAGGCTGAAGTACCTCTTGGGCATCACCAGCTTCCTGAACCATCAAGGACATGGAAAGCCTCAAAACTGTCAGCAACTAAAGTGTGACCTTAAAAAGATGATGCCTTGGTAGCTCTGGTACCCTCTTTTGGAAGTGATCAGCTCATGAGACCAAGCTGTGAGCTAAGGTCCTGTTCCTCACAGCAGCTGAGAGCGCTGTGTGAACACTTGCCACTGCAGCAGGGCAGCCCATAAGGGAAGGAGGTTGTCAGCTGGGAGCTAAGGAACTCTTAGGATGAAGGGCTGCCTTTCACTAGTCCTGACTTCATGTTTTCATTAACACAGATAAATCAAAATAGGATGTCAGCCCATGTCCTTAATCTAGCAAAATGGGAATGATGTTCTTTTGCAGTTCTAGCCATAAGGAGGCTGGTCTGCAATAGGAATTGATTGCTTTCTGGTTGATATTGTGTATTTTAAATTCACTATGGTAAAACTTTAAAAGGAGAGATACTGCACAGTAAGTTTTACACACTTGTATTTTATTGTGAATTTGGGTACATTGTTGCACCTTCTCTAAACAACCTGTCAAGTGAAGAGAGTAGCACTGATTTCCCATTCACCACTCGGTGCTGGATGCTCATACCCAACTGCCAACCTGTTATTTAAGTATTCAGACCCAAAAGTAAGCAGGGAAGTTAAACATTTTAGAAATTAAAATAGAAAGGTGGAATAATTTCCCAAAACAAACATCTTCACATAGTCCTAAGAGCAAGTTTCTCTCCTGACAAGTTTGCCACTGCGGAAAGAATTGAAATTGTACCTGTTTGCAAGCTGTACTGTTTGCAAATGCTGTGAAACTGGGAATGCCGTGCCCTTACATTTTTCCATGGGATTGAAGAACACTTGTGTGTATTTATTGTTATTCTGCAATCTCACAGAAGTTTTTGTTGGTTTTACAAAACAATGGCTAGGAATCCTAGTCATAGAACAAGATCCCAAAGCTGATTAAAAATCATAGAATTGTTTAGGTTGGAAAAGACCTTTAAGATTATTGCCAAGCCCACAATGAAACCATGTTCCAAAGTGCCACATCTACATGTCTTTTAAATACCTCCAAGAATGGTGACTCCACCACTTTACTGAGCAGTCTTTTGCAATGCCTCACAATCCTTTTGGTGAAGAATTTTTTCATAATATCCAATCTAAACCTCCCCTAGTGCAGCTTGAGGCCATTTTCTCTCATCCTATCAGTGATAGGGATGTTATTTGGGAGAAGAGACTGACTCTCACAGTGATCCTTTTAGCATGTAGTTGTAGAGTGTGATAAGGTCTCCCCTCAGCCTCCTTTTCTCCAGGCTGCATAATCACAACTCTCTCTGCTGCTCATCATGAGAATTGTGCTCCAGACCCTTCCCCAACTCTGTTGCCCTTCCCTGGGCAAACTCCAGCACCTCGATATCATTCTTGCAGTGAGGGCCCAAAACTGAACACAGCACTCGAGCTGTGGCCACACCAGTGCCAAGTACAGGAGGACAATCACTGCCCTAGTCCTGCTGGCCACAATATTGCTGATGCAAGCCAGGATGCCATTGGCCTTCTTGGCCACCTGGGCACATACTGGCTCATGTTCAACCAGCTGTTGACCAGCACCCCCAGATTCTTTTCTGCCAGGCAGCTTTCTAGCCACTCTTCCCAAAGCCTTTGGTGCTGCATGGGGTTGTTGTGAACCAAGCACAGAACCCAGCACTGAGGTGCCATACCTATGATCCATTAGACTTACAAACTGCTGTTACCAGTTCAACTGCAAAGGAGTGATTGAAGGGATACTGTCTACCAGGTGAATTACATGTATGTCCTCAGGGTTGGCTGAGTTAGAATATGGAGTTGAATTAAGAGCTTGTTTTTGTTGAAATGGGTTATCCTCTTTCCTCTATCTCCATGGACCTCTTTTTTCCCCTTTATATACAAGTTCTTGTGCTCCCATCCTTGGTGAAGTGATTCAGCTCATAAAATCAGCAAAACACTTTTTTCCTTGGATTGGTTTTCTGCTGCCTCAGTGAGTTTATCCAGCTTACTGTGCACTGAGGTGAGTGCCAGCGGTGCAGTGACGGAAGCTGTGGCCATGGGAAGCTGACAGTGGAAGAGATGGGAGACAGGAGCTGCAGTGACAACAACTAGCTGTGGGATAATGAAATAAAAGAAATTGCCCTAAGGACTTTATATAGCAAAAAAGAATCATTAGGATGAGTTTTTCAAGAATCCTTGAAATCCTAACTGAATCAAAGGGAATACTAAAACTACCAGGCCTAGACAAGCACTAAATTTGGGACACCTTCTTAAAAGGAAAAATGTGGTTGAAAACCAGCCAAACAAACAAAAAAAGATATTATTTTAGCTGTGTTAAGTTTGAGCAGTTGGAGTGTTATCAAAATACCTCTTGATAATTGCTTTATAAAACTTGAAGGTGGTATCTTTTATGAATGTGATATGAAACTATCTTATTGATCCAGACTATAAATAAGTAAAATAAAAAAAAGTGGTGAGTCAGTCTTAAATATTTTTTTAAAGGAGGGGGAAAAAAATCAATGGTAAATCTTCCATCCTGACAGAAAAGCACTAACTATTCAGAAATGTGTAGGATATTATGCTTCTTTGGTGTATTCCTTGGCATTATTTTGTGGAAAAAAAGGACAAATACCTCAATAGTTCACACTCTATCAAGCCACAACAAATAAAGTAATTTACAGGACTATTTAGCCTTCTAGGGCTTTAAATACAGTGACTTGAAAGCAAAACAAACCAGTGCAATTCAAGGCACTACACAAACCTAAAAAAGGGGATTAGGGGGAAACTCTACGAGGAGTTAACTTCAAACTACTTTTCCCATATTTTGCATATGTTTAGCAGTTTTGGAGACAAAACCCTGGACAAAAAGGAACATCAAGTGGTCTATTTTCCTTAAAATAATTTTTTTAAAAAAATCATTCCTTGGTTCTTCTTACTTTTCAGCTGACTATGTAACTGAGGTCCTGTCTTCCGAGTATTTCCGCCTTTCACACGAGGCGATGCAACCCCATCCTAAGCATCCTAAACGCCGCTCGGGGCTGCCAACCGCGACGCTCCGCGGACATTCACAGCCACGAGCGCCGTGTTGCAGCCCTCAGCAGCTCCAGGGGTGAGCAAGGGCACCGACCGGGCAGAGCCCGAGGCGTGTCCCGCCGCCGGGCTCACGGTCCCGCGGGCTCTCTGGCGAGGGGGAGCAGCCGGGTGGCCGAGGGCAGGTCGGAGCGCACGCGAGCGCCCGGCAGCATCGCCCGGCCCGGCGGCTGCGGCGGGCGCGCCTGCGCTCCGGCGCCCGGGGAGGCGGAGGCGGCCGAGGGGGACCCGGCGTTGGGTGACAGGCGGGGCGGGGGCGCAGGGCCCGGGCCGGCCGCCCCCGGCGCCGCACGCTCGGTGAGTAGCCCCGTCTTTTTTCTTCACAGCGGCCGGGAGGAGAGCGCGGTGCGTCCCGCCGGCTCCTCCGCCCTGCCCGCTGGCTACCCTCTGGGGGTGGGGGAGATCCGCCGCCGGGGCGCGGTTGCCCGGGTGCCGTTGCCTCCCCGCCCACCCCTCCGCGGGGCCGCAGCGAGCAGGAGGCGGCTAGGAGACAATAGCGGACAAAGGAGGCAAAAGGCGTGTTCCGCTGACGGGGTAGGGATGTCTGGGCACCGCTCTGCACCCGGCGGTCCCGGGGGGAACCCGAGCGAGCTGGGGCGGTGAGGTCGGCCCCGGGTTGCCGGGTCCCGGGGTGCCCGCCGCTGCCCGGCTCCTGCTTTGTTCCCCTTCCATCCTCCTGCCGCCGCTCTCCGGGCCGCTGAGTTGTAGCGGAGTATTTATTTCAGCGCATTTATTTTTAGGCTGGAAAATAAAAGGCTTGGCACGGCGACCTTTGGCAGTCGCATCCGGCGCCAAATAAAAGGGTCGCGCTCTGGCCGAGGCCGCCCCAGCTCTTATGTAAATCCATGTGCCGTCCCCAAGGACGCGCGGTCCCCGGGGCGCTGCCGTGATCCAGCCCCCGAGAGGACGGAGGCGCTCCCCGGAGCTCAGCGCGGACCGCGGGGTCGGGCGGGCAGAGGCCGGGGCGGCAGGGAGGGACGGGGCAGCTGGGGCCGGCGCCGCTGACCTCCCCTGCTTGCTCTCCGCCCGCAGATCGGCAGCAACCCCCGGAGCTCCGTCACCGGCGTCGGCGGCGAGAAGAGAGGAGGATGCGGGCGGCGGAGCGGGCGGCAATGCCCCGCGGCGGGCAGGCTGTCCGCGGGGCCCCGGCGGGCGGCTGCTGAGCGCGGCGCCGCAGGCATGCGGCGACGGGAGGCGGGAGCCGCCGGCAGCGCGGGCGCCCCGGCGAGCGGGCGGCCCCTCGAGCGAGACTGAGGGTGGATGGAGCCACAAAGGAGTTTGGCTGACACGTGCGGCGGGGCGGCCGGCGGCCGCGGCTAGGGCCAGCCCCCTCCCCTCCCTCCTCCCCTCTTCGCTATGCTGCGCTCTCGCCGGGCCCCTCAGCGCGCTCGACGCACGGCGGCGATGGAGCCGGCCGGGCTCCTCTGAGGCCGCCGCCGGACCTAGCATGGCCTCGGTGGGGACCCCGGAGCAGCGGCTCCCCGGGGCGGAGCGGCCGGCGGCGGGGGGCCGGGCGGAGGCGCCGCGGTGCCGCAGTCTGCCCGCGCTCGGCTCCCCCCTGGCGGCCGGGGGGGGCGGCGGCGGCGGCTCCGCCGCGGGACCGGCTCCCGAGGCCGAGCGGGGCCAGGGCGCCGCTGCCGAGGCTGCCCGGCCCCCCGCCGCCAGCGGCAGCGGGAGCTTGCCCTGGAAGACGGAGGGCGGCCAGCCAGCGGCGCCCGGCCGAGGGGTGTCCCTGGGCCCCCCGCTGCTGCTGCCGCCGCCGCCGCCGGCGCTTCTGCTGGCGGGCCCCCCGGGCAGAGCGTGCCTGCGGGCAGTGCTGGCGGACTCGCGCTTCTTCCTGGTGTGCATGTGCTTCCTGACCTTCATCCAGTCTCTCATGGTCTCCGGCTACCTGAGCAGCGTCATCACCACCATCGAGCGGAGATACAGCCTCAAGAGCTCGGAGTCGGGGCTGCTGGTCAGCTGCTTCGACATCGGGAGCCTGGTGGTGGTGGTCTTCATCAGCTACTTCGGGGGTCGCGGGCGGAGGCCGCTCTGGCTGGCCGTAGGGGGGCTTTTCATCGCCCTGGGCGCTGCGCTCTTCTCCTTACCTCACTTCATCTCTCCGCCGTACCAGATCCAGGAACTGAACTCCTCCGTCAGTAACGAGGGCTTGTGCGTGGCTGGCAATGGCACTGCCAAAGAGCAGTGGGACTCGTCGGCCTGCATCAAGGACACCGGCGGAAATGACCACTCACTCTATGTAGCTTTATTCATTTGTGCCCAAATCCTCATTGGCATGGGCTCGACACCCATCTATACCTTGGGACCAACCTACTTAGATGACAATGTCAAGAAAGAAAACGCCTCGCTTTACCTAGGTAAGGCAACTTTAGTACCTGGGAACTTTGAATGCTGAACCCCATATCTCTCTGAGGGGCCAGTTACAGGTACTTCTGCCTTAGTCCTGCTGAACATCTGTGCTAAGTTTTCCTTTTCAAATGACCTTTTTAAGTAGAATTGCTATGCTTTCCTGTTTTAAAATGTTTTGTGGCGTGGTGAGCAGTAGTAACAGGTGAAGCTAAGGCAGTGTGACTAAATGCAGTTGTACTCACACCCTCTTGCACGGGTAATAGAACAGCAGAGAAAGTTGGCTTCTCTAATGCTTTTCATCACTTGGCAGTATCCGGCGACTTTTTCAGAAAGCAGTGTTAAAATTTGCCGTGCCCTTTCAAGTTTCTTTTTGCTGACACGGAAGCTTTATAATTGTAAATTCTGGTTGCTGTGCCTTTAGCCTAAGGTCTCTATAATGTTAATGTTCAATAAGCACTTTGAGAGATTTTTGGCATGCTTTGTTTTACTTTTCCAGCATTCACTTGCCTTGAACTAGTAATGAATTTTGACTGGCATTGATTCATCGTCTGGTATCTCAGAGTTAAAAACCCACCGATAAGCCAGCATGTAAAACCTTCGGGGTTAAGTTTGGTTAGGGCAGCTCAAGGAGCACTCTCAAGAAATGAGAGTCCAATCTGGCAGACGTTTTTCAGCAGGTACAGACAAGTCTTCGTAACTGTGGGAGGAAAGGGTATCTCAGCCGGGTACTAAACTTTATTGCACTTTGATCGTGATAGTTCGTGTAATGTGTAAGAAGATGAACTGCTCCCTGACTTTGCTTTAGCACCTGACATGCTTCTGTAAGAAATGAACCTCATGTACCCCTTCAAATTTTTTTTCAAATAAGGAGAGGCACTTAGGGGGCTGAGAGGGCCGTGAACGAGTTTTGGATACTCGGCTTTACCATTTGCAGTTCAATTTTCTCTGGCTTTACAATAGCCATGGAGATTATAATGGCATGTAAACCACACATTTATGGAAGTTATACACTTGTGGAGTGCGTGTGTGTGTAATTACTTTACTGAACAAAAGGAGTGATCCAGATCAGTGTTTTTATTCCTTTTGACCTGTTCTTTGGCAATTTGACTGTTCCCTGAACCGTTTTAAGGCTATGCACAGTCTGTGTGCAGTGTCTTGAAAAAGCTTGGGGCACTGCAGGTTTTTGGAAGGAGGGGGAGGCATTCACTGCATTGCTAATCTGCATGATGAAGTATTTGACAGAGTGTTTTTTCCCTCTCTTCTCCCATCGGAGAAAGGTTAAGTGGTGTGGAAATTAAAATTAACTTAGCATCGACTTTATTGGCAGTATGAAAAACCAAAGCATCTTGTTACTGAGGTTACTAAATTGTAGTTTGGAACTTTTGCAAGTAGGTGATCGCACACAGTTCCTCAAAAACGAAAAAAGGAAATGGAAATGCTGTAGGTGAGGAATGAAGGGTAAAAGGTGAACGGTGAGGGAGGCGGAAATCTTTCTTCAACAAAGGGGAAGGCAAGGTCAATGGGGGGAAATCCTCATTGTGCAGGAGAAATGATGCTTACCAGTGATATGCTTTTACCACAGGAAATAGTAATGAAGTGACTCAGGTAACTTTAATTGCAGCGAAGTTAACAAAGGTAAAAGGCACCAGCAGCTGAGTAGACTCCATGTGACCCTGTGCCTGCCAGGCACTGAAGGCATCTTTGATCTATACTGGGAGCACCTTTGTAGAGTTGAAGTTCATTTCTAGTGATTCAGGAGAACGAAGATGAGTACACCCAGCTACAGTGTACTTGAAAAATTTATGCCTGTGATTTGATTGTTACCACAGGGAGAATTAAAATGAACACTACCTGTGTTTAAACTTTGAATAAAATTTACTATAACCTCCATTCAGTCTTGAAGCTACTCAGGGCTAGAGGCAATACTATCTGCTGTTGGAAATCTTGGTATTAGTTTTTTTAAATAGTGTGGAATTCTGAAGAAACTTTTAACTTGTTAATGTTTAAATATTTGCCTCACTTTAGGTATAGGCCAGTGACTTTTTGAGGGGCAGGAGTAAAATCTGAGTTTTTGCAGGAGAAAGAAAAAGAGCACTGTTTGGCACGTTGATGCGAGCAAACATGTTTTTGTTGGATCTTCTCAATGGTTTGGAATGTTGCATGTCCTTGAGGAGAGGGATTTTTGGGCAGCAGACAGCCCAGCCAGGTGCAGGGATAGGATAGAAGTGCCCTGGGCATGGCTCTGCAGGCCTGCTGCCTCACATCCTGTGTTACACAACGCCTGGTTCTCCCGGTGGTTTGATTCTGTTACGGGGGAAAACTATGCAAGTGATGGCAAAATGTAAAATGTATGTCTGTGTGTAGGCATGAGCTAACAAAAAGTCTTGGAGTAGGCCATGGCAGTTGAGTGTTTAAAAAGAGAAGAAAGCCCAGGGAAACAGATCCAAGTCACACACATACAGGTGTTTGAGTGAGGACAGCTGAGTCACAAAAAGAATATCCTCTAGCATAGAATGGAAGGTCACTAACATGTTTGTTCATAATCAAGCTGCTATTACATTCTATGTTTTTCCTCCAAAGGAGGGTAAATAAATATGTGTGCACCTGGTAAAAGGTTCACTGAGCTTCAGAACTGATGAGCATTTTGACCCTGCAAGTGTGCCCACTAATAGTAGGTCAGAAGAGCCCCCCTTGAGTATCACTAATCCTGATTCTGCAAAAACTCACCTTATGTGGCTGTGGAAGCTATCTTATTTATTTTCCAAGTTAATCCAGCTCAGGGCTCGAGTGGCGATAGCATATCCTCTTAAGTGCAAGCATGCAAGCTGAATGTGGACAGCTGTTTTAACATTCCTGGCTGGAAGTCCTCCTCTCAAAAAACATATTTGATGCTTATACATAGTCTCTTGGCTGCCTACACTTAAGTCCATCTGTCAGAATGGCACAGTGCCAGTTTATAAGGTGCTACGTCGTTTTTAGTAGGACAAAGGTGCCAAGCAGGGATGTGTATTTGGGCTGCTCGAATAGCAGTGTGTGAGCTCTTCTGTGGGATGTTTCTTCCTTGTGAAGCAGTGTCACCTCCGGTCCTCTTGCCCCTTAAACTTGGCAATACTTTGATGTCCTGATGCTAACTTTGAGAAATGTGTGACATCAGGCTTGAAAACAAGTTGTAATTGTAACAGGTGCCTAGCAAATGTAAGAACCGGTTCCCTTAATCACAGATAATCCAAAAAGGAAGTTGCACACTGTGTAAAACTGGGCAGTCACTAAGTGGTCTTTGTCTTCTCCAAAGTCTCTCCCTTCTGTGCTCAGCTGAACTGTGACATGTCTGTTGTCAGCTGCCCTGATGTGTGCGGGTTCTTCTAAGTATTTATCCAATTAAATTAATTGCAATTCAATTTGAAGTTGAATTGGACTTCCTGAGTCTTGTTTGGTACTCTTGATGGTGTTTCTGCTACTTTTCAAATTCTAGCATTTAATACATTGTGATTTTTCTAAACACTGTGGGGTTTTTTGTAGGTATCCAGCAGTTTGTCTTGAATGTGAGTTTGCCTTGTGATTATATCAGGATTTTTAAAAGCAGTTCTTTAAAATTAAGTGCCGCACTTAGAAACTCTATTAGTGGCGTTATAGTGCCTGAATAACTTTAAAATATTTTTCTTCTTTTGCAAGTGGATATTGTTATAAAAAATGAATTTACCCTAAAAGCTCACACATAGAGAGGCAGTATTAGGTTTTACAGAAATATTGCATTAATGAAAATATTCTAGCATTCAGGAGTGGCTTTTACTAGTACTCCCCAAAATGACTAGTGAACAAATTGGTCTTTGTACTAAGGATGCTTTATTTCAGTTTCCAGAGTGCTATAGGCTGGTTAGGATATGAAGTGAGAAAAGTGTCTCTGTTTAATTTCATGCAGACTGTCCCTAAGTTTTGGAACAAACTGTAATTACAAAATGCAAAGATAAAGATTTTATGAGATAATGGCTGAAAAATTGGATAAACCTGTGCAAATGGGCTTGGTACAGATAATGGGTGAAAGCCAGGGAAGTAATGTCATTTCATAACCTGGAAAAAAAGTATTTAGACAAGTTTCAAAAATATTTTGGACTCCTGCTTTGTTTTCATGAAGACTGTTTGTGGGTTGCTGTTTCTAGCATTAGGTAAACCATTGCACTGTGACTATATTCTGTCTGGGAAACACCTCCTTTCCAGTGTTTTACAGGTGGATGTTCTGTGCACCTCTCATGTCTTTGTTACACACTTCCCCAAAGTCTTTATATATGTATTTATGATGATTACATTTACTGTATTTCTAGTTAAATCTACCCCTTTATCCACATCCTACTTGAAAGGAGAGGATCAGGAGGGATAGCTTCACATCAGAAACCCACCACCTCTGCCTGCTGGGTCCCAGGGCATAGCCAAGCTGCCAAACAAGCTAGAGCTCTGTAATGTACCATTGCTTGGATGTTGGCACAGGAGGCACTAGATTTTTGTGCCACTTTGATCCATTTTGGTCTGGCTGCTTCTGGGATTATGGATGTCCCTGGGAGACAGGAACTGGAGCCCAGGGGGGGCATCAGGTCCTTTATGTGGGTGCTACAAGGTCATTGAGGTTTTCTGAGACAGTATCAACTTTCTAGCTGAGCAGAAGGGACTATCTAGAAGCAGGGAAACAGCTGACCAGCATTTAATTTTATTCTCACTATTCAGCTTATGACCACTTTTAGTTTACTTTTGGAATATGCTTCCGGATATCCAAAAAAGCTAGTTTCCTACAGGGTTTTCTCAGCACTGATCCCTATAGTTGGTAAACCCTACAATAGGGGTAAATCCTATTTTTACCGCATGCCTGTGAGGAGTCAGATTTTTTGAATCTAAAATTGTGGCAAAAGGGGGTGTTACCAGTAATTTTTATTGCTTTCTCTATTTTCCTTGTAAAGGGTAAGTGTGCCGAGCTTATTTCTCAAAAACATGATTTTATTTTATGTAAGAGAAGGTTTTA